AAAAATCGCAGAGTATTCATACTCACACACACACACACACACACACACACACGCGCGCGCACACGCGCATGTGCAAATATGGAAGTGCATCATTTTTTGAATCGACTCTCAGCAATGGGTTCTTCATTAATGTCCATTCGGTAAAAAATACTCGTTTGGCGTCAACGTCGAGACCGGAAGTGAGAACACATACAACGAGACAGAAACACCATATAGATATACGGTTACATCACGAATGCAGACAGAGAAAGTGTTTCTCTCGCCAGGTTTTACGCAGAAGAAAAAAAAATTAAAAATAAAAAAAAAAAGTGAAAATAAAACGAAGAAAGGAGACAAAAAAGAGAAAAAAAATGGGACACGACTCGCGCACCAAGAAGTGAAAGCAGAGGAGATCGCAGAAGAGAACATTTTTATTTACAATATTTACATGATTTCTCCCTTTTTTTTTCTAACTTTTAACTTTTCTCGAATTAATTTTTCACGCAACATTTTCAGCTCCATTTTCGTTCTTCCCTCTTTTTTTTGTTTTTTTTTTTTTTTTTTTTTTTAATTCGTATTTTCGTACTTCAATCTTTTCGCGAAGGATAATTTAACAGAAGGAAGCCAGGAAGTTAAGATTTGAAACAATATTTAATTTAACACGGGTTCGAGAAGTTACATTTTTTTTTTTTTTTTTTTTTTTGTTTTTTGCTTTTGAATTTCGTAATTCGCTGAAACACTCCCAGATTCGATAATCGTGTTAATGAATGTCGTGAATTTATTATTTATTATTCGAGTGATCTGAAATTATTCCGATGTAATATTGTGATGGATTCTTACCTTTTCGACGCGGTCTTTTTTGACACAACCTGTACGTAAACGACAAAAATTCTACAAATAATTTGCGTCGATCTAAGAGCTCCTGTCGTAATTTGGTCATGCTGAATTCAAAAACGAACATCTTACGCAACTGCACCGTGCGAAGATAAACATTTTCTAGGCTCCAGAACGAGAAAAATAGCCAAACATTCAGCAATTCCAAATAATTCCGATTTTTTACGAGATTCAAATTTAAAAAAAAAAAAAAAAAAAAAAAAAAAA